TCCTCTCTCAGATGTTGCCAGGCATTATATGTTGTTCTGGGTATCCTCTACAAACTCTCTGTAAGAGCTTCTGGGTCAGTTCACCCATATTATACAGACTCTGTTACCACCTTGTCTGAAAATTCATGTTAACCACTTCCTGTCCGGACACTTTTACCCCCTTCCTGTCCAGGGCAATTTTCAGCTTTCAGCGCTATCACACTTTGAATAACAATTGCGCGGTCATGCAACACTGTACCCATATGAATTTTTTACCATTTTTTTGAGACAGATAAAGCTTTATTTTGGTGGTATTTATTCACCGCTGGGATTTTTATTTTTTTTACTATGTAAATGAAAATGTCCAAAAATTTTGAAAAAAAAAAAAGTGTTTTTTTTTTTTATAAAATTTTGCAAAATAATAATATTTCATCATAAATCTTGGCCAAAATTTATTCTGTTATTTTTTTAGTAAAAAAAAAAAAAAATCCAAATTAGTTTATAACCAAAAATTATAATTTTTAAACATTTTTGTTTACATTTTTATTTTATTATTTTTATATTATTATTATTATTTTTTTTTTTTTTACATACTGTCACCCTAGCAGTGCAGTGTCACCATGGTGACACTGTACAACTTGTGGGGAGTAATGAAGATTTCTTTTTTCTTTCTACACTGATTGCTTTTACACCCATATAGGGTGTAAAAGCAATCATTTCTCTTTCTCTCTGTCTGCATTCTTGCAGTCATTGAGAAATACTGAGTGAGCTGTGATTGGTCACAGCTTGTCACATGGTACAAGGCTGTTGTGAATAGCCTTGTAACATGTGACCTCTGTGATCATTCACAGATTTCACACGTAGTAAGCAATGATGTCACAAGTGACATCTTGCTTACTACTTTGCATGTGATCACTGATTGGCCAATCAGTGATCATATGATCGGGACCTCGTACAGAGGTCCCGTCCGACGATCGGTGTTTCACTGTGTCCGGAGGACACAGCGGGCACCGGATCGCGGTGGTGCGCGCTCCCAGGGAGCGCGCATAGCTAGAAAAGGCGGGTGCCGTTTAGGAACGGCAACCCGCCCCTGGACTGCCACCGCCCTGCCGTTTATAATCAGCAGGCGGATGGCAAGTGGTTAATACACTTTACTGCAATCCTTGGTCTTTGTGTGCATTCTCTCTTCTCTGGGTACTAAACGCTTGGCCCTTCCAACATGTTGAAAAGCTGAACACTTAATGTGGAGCTAAAATTAAACATTTTTTTGTTTTGGACAGAGTAAAGGAAGGTTACAAACCATGCTTTTTTTTGCTATCTGTGTCAATTTTGGAGATTTCCCTATACTTCCTGTCTATATCAAAAGCTGGAAGTGAGAGTAAATCCCTCAAAAGTGAGGGAATGCCTGGTTGTTGTCAAAACTAGTGTCCCCAATGGGAAGATATCCCCCCTGTTCCTGTGACAACCCAAAATGTTGGATTTTCATTCACTTTTGATGATAAAAATAAACAGGACAAAAAGACAGGGTGAATCTCCCCAATAGAGACACCAATAAAGACCTGACTGGTCCAATTCCTCTCCACTTTATCCAAAGCCAAAGAAAAAAATGTTTTGCCTTTAGTTATATTTTAAAGGTAAAATCTATGGCTTTAATACAAAAAGTAAACAGACAATGATGGTACCTCCCTGTATAATGTGGGTCCTTCTATAATGCAACTTCCAACTTCTGTGGTCGCTGATTCTGGCTTGATCCCTTGAGTCTTAAGCACTGTGATGAGTAGACTCGCTAGTTACTACTAAGGCAGAAGTGAGGGAAAGAGTAGGCCACAGACAGTGAAAATGCTAGGCCACAGAGTCGGAATGCTGAGTACTTTAAAAAAAAGTCTCATATATTTGTCCCCAGTTGAATACATTCATAGAAATGGAAGTGATATTTCTGCCCTTAGGACATACCCGTACGTCCTCGGGATTTGGTGGTTATACATATATAGTGGTTCAGTGGCTGCACCTGGAGTCTTGACCCGGCATCTTTCTTTTCAGCTGGCAATGCGGAATATTGTAAATGTAATTCAAGTTGCTACATAGTTATACATGTGGAGGAAGGTTATTCCTCCTCTCTCCCAACACCTTCCCGGGATTTCACATTCCACCAGGGAGTCAGGGACTGAAGCAAGCAGTTCTGTCCCGGTCCATGCTGTCACAAGGGATATCGTTCATATCTTGTGATAGCATTAAGTTGACCAAAAAAAAAGTTTTTAAAAAATTTTAAAAAAGTTTAAAAAAAATAGATAATAGTAAAAAATGTAATTGTCCCATCCCCCTTCATGCTCACACACAAATGCAAACACAATTGTAGGTTCCACACTCATAGGCAAATGGTGTTCACACTACACATGCTATGTATCCCTGCAGACATCAGTGCAAGAGCAATAATTCTAGCACTAGACCTCCTGAGTAACTGTAAACTGGTAACCTATAAAGGCTTTTAAAGCATCTACTATGGAGATCTTTAAGTACCGTAGTCATCATCATTCCACAGGTGTACACAATTTTCAGGCATGACATGTTTGTTGGTGTATATTTACTCAGTGTAAAATCATATTTTACATTTTACCAAACAATCGGGTATTATTGCGTTTTTGTGCAATAAAATTAATTAAAGTGTAATATTTCCCAAAAATTTGTGTTAGAAAAAATATTGTGTGACATAAAAAATTGCAACTCCCACCATTTTATTCTCTAGGACCTCTGCTTAAACTAAATATAATGTTTGGTGGTTTGGTGGTAATTTTCTAACAAAAATGTGAGAAGTGTCAGAATTGACTTGGGCAGCTAGTGGTTAAAAAACACATTGGGCTTCGGGAGACCCCAGACAATCTATGGGACAGCAGAACTTAACCACTTCAATACCGGGCACTTATACCTCCTTCCTGCCCAAACCAATTTTCAGCTTTCAGCGATGTCGCACTTTGAATGACAATTGCAACACTATACCCATATGACATTTTTATCATTTTTTTTCAGACAAATAGAGCTTTCATTTGGTGATATTTAATCACCACTGAGTTTTTTATTTTTTGCTAAATAATACAAAAAACACCTGAAAGTTTTGATAAAAACTAACTTTTCTTCTTTTCTGTTATAAAATTTAGCAAATAAATAACATTTCTTCATAAATTTAGGTCAACATGTATTCTGCTACATTTCTTTGGTGAAAATAATAATAATAATTGAATTTAGATATTTTTTATAAAATGTTTCTATTATGTTTTTTTAATTTTTTATTACAATTTTTCAATTTTTTAATATTTTATTTTTCAGCACACGGTGACCAAAGCAATACAATGTTACTATAGTAACATTGAACAACTCTGGACAAGTGATCAGGATTTTTTTAACACATTATGATTGCTAATGCCAATGTATTTCATTGATATTTACAATCATTGTTACTGAATGAAACTGATTAATTCAGTCTTTTGTTGTGATTAGCTGTGATTCGGCAAAGCTGATCACATGATACAGATGGGCTGTGATTGGCCCTGTCTGTATCATGTGACTGCCTTGACCAGTCACAGCTAACAACATAACACTATAATGTACAGCGCTGAGCAAACTTTTTGGCGCTATATAAATACTGTATATATAATAATAATTGTATACAATGGATGGTATGAATGGAAGACATCCATTGTATACAATTGACATGTGATCTGCAGTGATTGGTCACAGCGGTCACATGATACTGACAATGGACACAGCCGGTGACAGATCGCTTTGCTGCGCGGCTCGTTTTGGCAGGATGTCATATGAAGCCCAGTCTCACCAATCTGCTATAGGCCAGACAGGAACGTGTTAAAGTACCTGATATTTGGATTAGGTGGCAGGTTTTTTTTTATCTTGGGGACACAAGATCAATCTAATATCACTGCATAAGACACAAGAACTGCATTGTAAAAGCAGGAAAATGTGGATTGGTTTTCAAAGTGAAATGCATGTGGCTCCTTCCGTAGATTGTTTCAAGAAAAAAACATCTGTATAAACTATTTTTCATCACGTCCATTGTCAGGAACACTGTATCAAGGAGAAAGAAAGATGCAAATAAGTAAGCAAATGGATTAGAAGAAAGAAGAAAGAAAATTTTAGAATTTTTTTTTGAGTTTTTACTGAATTTTACAAGTAACAAAGTACAAACAGCACCTAGTGGTGAAAGAGAAAATGGTCATGAGCAAATACAGAACAAGAAGAAGGAGAAATATATATATAGTGTCGGACTACATCAATCTCGGTTTGGTCATTGGACTCATGGTTTCCAGGAGCCATCAAAAGCTGAAAATTTGTCTCATCTGATAGCCAACAATCTTGCATATATAAAATGTACTTTAACTGTTTCAACAGTATTGAAAGGGTTTGTAGTTTTGTTTTATTCCCAGTGTCTAGTAATAGTGATCCTAGCCTCTGGTAGAATATGAGTAATGACTGTATGGAATTGGGTAGGAAAATTCTCTGTACCTAGGTTTAAGATGGCCAAAGCTGGATGGGGAGAAGTGATTATTCCGGTAACCTCAGAAACAATTTGAAATATTTTCCTCCACAAACTGTGTTTACAGTGCCTAAATATATGAACTAAGGTTCCTATGGAGCTGCATCCTGTCTGGACTCTGCATGGTAGAATTTGGCCTAGCAATATGGGGTTAAATAGTGATTTTTTTTAGTCAGTTCCCAGTGATTGATACAGATAATAGACTTACATATTGAGTTAAGAGCCAGGAGTCATTGCAAATCCGTAAACAAAGATGAAAGATCTAGCTTCCATTTATTGAATTTGAGATTTTTTTTTAATGGAAAAAGTCAATCAAACCTCCGACTTTGTTCTTCTGGGCTTTTCAGACCTTCACTTCAACCATGCTGCTTTATCAGAGAAAGGCGTTGTGAAAAACACATCAGGAAAATTCATTATCTACTTTTAGATTATCATGAAGACATTTTAGCTGACTATGGTAATTTCTAGATGACGTTTGATGGAAAAAGTTAATTTTACCTCAGGCTTTATCCTTCTGGGTTTCTCAGACTTTCACTACAACCATGGTTCCTTCTTCTCCACCATTCTGGTCATATACATCCTCACATGGACTGCTAACTTACTTTTAATAGGTTCTATTAAACTTTCTCCACATTTGCAAACACCAATGTACTTTTTCTTAGGTAACCTGTCAGTAGTGGACATCTCTTTCTCTACAGTGACTGTTCCCAAGCTACTGTCCTGCATTCTTCATGGAGAAGACTCAATCTCTTTTCATGGTTGTTTCCTGCAGATATTCTTCTTCATTCTTCTGGGCACCACTGAGAGCCTTCTTCTGTCAGTTATGGCGTTTGATCGTTATTTGGCTATTTGTTACCCTTTACGTTACACATTAATAATGAATGATAAGCTGTTGTTCATGCTGATTGTTGGTTGCTGGGTGGCAGGATCTCTACATTCATTATTGCACACTTACAATGTGTCACAATTAGCCTACTGTGAGGACAGACTGATCCCCCACTTCCTCTGCGATGTGCCACCCCTCATCAAACTGTCCTGCTCCAGTACTACACTAGAAGAGCTCTTTATTTTCACAGAAGGTTCTATGGTTGTTACTATTCTATTTCTTTTTGTGCTCATCTCCTATGTGCTTATTGCAAGGGCTATCCTGAAAATGATAAACAAAAGCAGCCGCAGCAAAGCTTTTTCCTCCTGTTCTTCTCATCTCATTGTGATTTGTGTGTTCTATAGTACCATTATTTTTATTTACTTCCGCCCTTCATCAGACTACTCCTCCCAGTATGATCGCATTGTTAGCATGGCTTACACCATCATCACACCTATGCTGAATGCTTTTATTTACAGCCTAAGGAACCAAGATGTGAAACAGGCTCTGAAGAAGCTTATAATGCAATGCTTTACAAACAAATGACCCTTCTGCTGGTGCTCTGCTCGTACCTTTTTAAGATGGACTCTGTATTTGATGATGTAGCTCCCACCTCTGAATGGGCCACTGAGAATATGTCTAGGTCTCCCTTGCTAGTACAGAGACTTCAACCCACAAGCACAGTTCCATGCACACCAACAATACAAGCTCAGTCTAGGGAATATCTTTATAGAATTTAATGCTGAATAACTTGAAATAGTAGAAGGGTTCAATGGTTCAGGGCACTCCAAAACTATAGCAGTAGTAACAGGAGTACAGCTTTTCACTAATATTCTCTACTCAACTTTCCCTGAAGGTAACAGGGGATGGCCAGTATATCTAAGATTTTATAAAAGCAGCTCAGGTCTATATAGTATCCTCTGACACTTAGCTCCTGGGACATTGTAAGTAAAGACTTTGCTGGGGTGTGCAAGTGCTAAGAAGGAACTGCCTGCCACCCAGCATCTACAGGTAGATCCTCAGTAAGGAAGAAAAAAGATCCTTCCCCAGACCAGGATAATGCCCTCCAGTGAATAACCCTTTAGGAACTTTCTCCAGGCCCTCAGCTCAGCTCCCGTTGAGGTCCAGACTGCAATTTCTTGTTTCACTGTCTATCTTAATGAGATAGCATCTCCAGGACTACTGGAACACTCCTTGAAGAGGATAGGACACTCGGTAAAGGCCTCCCAAGCATTTATCACCTCCTTAGCCACCATTTGGATGCCTCCTTTCAGGGATTTGCTGAGACATGATAAATATTTATACTGATCATTTGACTTTCCCTGACCTATATTCTGGAAGTTCTTCCAGAACCAGGTGGTAGAAATCAAACACCCAGCTTAAGAAATCCTGACCAGACAAAAACAATTGATTACTACTCCACTGACTGCAGTGAAGCCAAAAAAAAACTATATTTAATTTAGCAGTCCATCTAGAGGAGGGTGCTACAAACACTAAACGTTCCTACTTGTTCAAAACGTTTTCCATTACAGTTTGCTAAACCATGCATGCCTCAGATTTTCCAGCTGGACTTCTACCTGCAAACCAAAGCTCTCATTTTACATAAAATTTTGGAATGGACATCTCATTTCTATCATCTACATATAAGCATCCCTTTTCCAATAAGTTTCTCACATCTTACTTAGGGATGAGCTAATGAGCTAATGTATCTGAGTGCGATTGCAAGAAGTTCAATCAAACCATCATAAAGTCAGAAATGTTTTCTTTTACATCTAACCCCACTGACGTTTGACACCATTTTCAAGGCTAATAAACAAGAGATTGTCAAACAAAGGACACTGGAAACTAGGAATTACCACACGGAACATATCCAATGCAAAAACAAAATGTAAAACAGGTCCTCCATTTTATGTGACTTTAAGTTCAACACAGGAAAAATACCAATCATTTCAATTACAGGGTCAACAACACCGTATCTGGCATCAAGAAAACACAAAATAAACTTCAGCACAGTCACTAAGAAGGAGAATATGGTGCTACCACTTATTTCACTCTAATATAGGTACTATATGATAGTAATTTTGACTATTAAAAAATCTAGTGACCATATGCCAAGGTGTGTGTGTACTTATATATTAAATAATAAATACCGTATTTTTCGCTCCATAAGACGCTCCTGACCATAAGACGCACCTAGATTTTAGAGGAGAAAAACAAGAAAAAAATATTCTGAACCAATGGACTGCAGACATAGTACAGGAAATGACCATAGACTTCAGACATAGTACAGGAGATGACCAGAGACTGCGGACACAGTACAGGAGATGACCAGAGATTTCAGACATAGTACAGGAGATGACCAGAGACTGCGGGCACAGTACAGGAGATGACCAGAGACTGCAGACATAGTATATGGATGACCAGAGACTGCAGGCATAGTACAGGAGATGACCAGAGACTGTGGACATACTACAGGAGATGACCAGGGACTGTGGACATAGTACAGGAGATGATCAGAGACTGCAGATGTACTACAGGAGATGACCAGAGACTGCAGATGTACTACAGGAGATGACCAGAGACTGCAGATGTACTACAGGAGATGACCAGAGACTGCAGATGTACTACAGGAGATGGCCAGAGACTGCAGACCTTTGGGGAGCGGGTACCCAAATTTGACAGGTATCTGCTCCCACTTCCGTGGAGTTGTCCTCCTCGTAGTCTTGTGGGACACGTGACAGGTCCCAAAAGACTACAGGTAGCCATAAAACAAAGCGAAGCGCTTCTCGCGCATGCACAGTGGGCACCCGGCTGTGAAGCTGCAAATGTCATAGCAGGGTGCCCACGCTGAAGATGCAAGCACTGGGGAGAGAAGACAGCCGTGAGAGCAGGATACCGCTGGACCAAGGAACAGGTAGGACCGAGGAGAAGATTCTTCTGCACAGTAGAACGGAGCGGCCGGCCCGGTATTCTAACACGGCGGCGGAGGGAATACCGGTCAGGCGCTCGCTCCATAAGATGCACAGACATTTCCCCCCATTTTTTGAGGAGGGGGAATGCGTCTTATGGAGCGAAAAATACGGTAAGTAATAATATAGAACTCATGTAAATTTATAGACTAGTGTCCTTACCGCTGCTGACAGTTCCCACGAGTGAAAATAATATGAATAAACCTATGTGACAGTGTCAACAACTCCTCCCTACGCGTTACGTCAACCAATCATGTGACTTCATCCCTTGATGGCATGTACACCTCCATGTAGTCATGGTCTACAACTCTCACAAGGTGTAGACCATTACTACAGCATCTAACTTTGCAGATATTGTGGGAGCAGTTCATACTTGGTGGTATTGATTTTGGGTTTGGGGAATCAGACAATGAGAAGTATCTGGAGGAGAAAAAGTACATATGTCTGATATCTGAGCTCAGTCTGGCCAATAGCAGACTGCTTTCTCACTGCATACTCATCTGCAGTGAAATAGTTGGCCCAATGGGATATGAGAGATTTGTATTATCGTAGCTGTGGGTGCCACTGTGAAAAAGTTTGTAAAAAAAGCAAAAAATTCTATCAAAACAGGACTGATCTTTTACAAATGCAGATTTGGTACAGACTGTGGGAAAATATTGAAAAAAACAGTGCTGCCTTCAACAGAATAAAAATAGTGCCCAAACATATGAAATTTAAAAAAAATATCAAAAATATAAATTATCCAATGTTAAACAATATAAAAAATATGTAGTGTTACTCCCATAGGAACTACAGAAATACTGTCCAAGTCTTCCCCAAAAGCTTTGCCCTACATCCAGGCACATAGACTCATACACATATTCCTTCAATAACCAGTCTAGAGTGTTGTTTTTTTTGCTGTTTTTATTTTTAAAGAACTTGGATAGGGATGAGGGAATTAGGTGGGTTACTGCAAAAACAAGAACTATGTACAGTTGAAGACTTTAGGTATTCTTTTGGATAAGATATGGCAAAGTCATTGCTTGAAACATACTAAAATGGTCTTTAGTTTTAACGCAGCAGTCCCCTTTATCTGACTCCCTAGCACCAGAGGGGGGTTAAGTAGCACACAGTCTCTGAGATCCTTTAGAGGTGTCTGTACTCACAAGGCCCAAGAGCAGTTGGTTGCTTTCCTCCATGATACCAGACCAGATCTTTAGTATATGGCCCCTCAGTCAGCTTTAGCAGGACCCGGGTCTCAGCATTCAGGCCTTCAGGTCATCTACCTGAGACCTATGGCAGTAGATACAGCAGTAGTGCCTGAGAGGGCAGCATGCCCCCTCCAGGCTGAAACAATCCTATACAGGAAAGACTCAGAACTCACTGTATTCACAGAATATACACAGTTACCCATCATGCCATCAAAGCTTCTTTCTTTGGGATAGGCCAGGACTGTATCAGTATTTATGCTGCCATCTGCACAGCTCCATCCCGATTATCCAGAAGCTTCTCAGGTTTTTGGATGCAGAACGAGCTATCAGGTTGGCATCAGCTGAACATACTGGGCATACCTAACTAGCAGAACACAGCAACACTGATTACAGTTTGCAGGTTATGCTTTTACCTAACAACAATTACAACCACAGTGTGTAACAAGTGACAACTAAACTTACCTATCAAAATACAAACTAAATCTATCTATCTAAACCTAGCACCTAGTCTCTTAGATTGTAAGCTCCCAGGATCAGTGTCAGGGCAGGGCTGTGGAACGGACAGGTAGGCCTAGTGGCAGGGTAATGCACTGACTGACGACAACCACCACCAACAGACCGAAGTCCCTCAGGGCGTGGAGTCTAAGTCCCAGGCTGCCTTCACCAGGGCCCCTGATGGTGGGGATGGACTTGATGCAGCCAGGAACCAGGTCGCGGCCCCCGAGACACCCCGGCTGCGCTAATAGCCGCCACCAATGGTGGCGTGTAACTGGTAAGAATGACAATAGCGTAGTCAGGCAGGCCAGGTCGACAACAACGGGACAAAACAGTACAGAACAGTAGACAGAGAATCACAGGTCACGGGCCGGGTTCAGCAACGGAAGGTCAGATCGAAGGAAAACACAGAGAATGGTCGAGTCACAAGCCGAATCAGATACCAGAAGAGTCACGAGAGTATACACAGAGCTGTAGCAAGACAAAGACACAAGACACAAGTGCAAAGGGCATGTGCGGACCACAGGCTTATATGTAATCAGCCACACCCCTCTGGAGGATGGACCTCAGAGACCAGAAGGCATAAAAGATTCCCACCATGCTCTGCAGAAATCCAACATGGATGGATGCCAGCACATGGAGAAACATAACCTCTGGGAAAAGGTAGGACCTTGACAATCAGGGCCCGTCT